TCCCTCTATTATACCCCAATCCCCCCTCTGTCCCTCTATTATACCCCAATCCCCCCTCTGTCCCTCTATTATACCCCAATCCCCCATCTTTCTCTATATGACAAATTGTGACAGGTCCTCTTTGTCTCCCTTCACTCATCTGTGGGTGGAGTGATTTGTAGTTTAGTTTTGTTCTATGTGGAATGATGGGCGGGTTGCTGCAGGGACATTTTTTGCCCCAAATTCTACATACACGGACCCATGTTTCGGAGTTGTACACGTGATTCATTCCATGTCATGGCTCCCGCGAGGACCCGATCAGATTCTGCTCATGTGTTGCGATGCATTACCGCGCTCGCTTTGATGTGTGTTGCGTTAAGGCAGCCAATTAATTTTAAATGGACCGTCTGCACCCCACAAGGTAGAAGATGCCAACGAACCCACAACGCCGCGCACCACAACACACAAGTCATGTGATGTTTTAGGATGAGGCGTGCAGGTCCAGGTTCTCGTGTGACATCATCTGTCATCTGTCTGCCCCTGCAGAGGTGAGATCCGGGATGTCTGCACTGAGCTCTGCACACACCATTGTCACGGATGAAGCAATCCAGCACGCTGTGATCACATGACTCCGAGCCAGGTGACGCCATACCTGTGGAGGAGAGCTCAGCATGTCCTAATATGGAGTGCGTCATGAGATCAGGTGGGCCAATGGGAGAGGAGATCCCCGCAATACAGACACACCTGACCTCATGTGACACTACATACTGCGCCACAGCTATGCATTCCACAATTCTTGGTATCTGTTCTTATTCTGTATGTATGGACTCTGCACAGTACCACTTCTCTTGTCCTGTATTCCAGGTGTCATTCTCGGTATCTGTTCTTTTTCTGTATGTATGGACTCTGCACAGTACCACTTCTCTTGTCCTGTATGCCGGGTGTCATTCTCAGTATCTGTTCTTATTCTGTATGTATGGACTCTGCACAGTACCACTTCTCTTCCCCTATGATGAGCATTGATAGATTTCCCTCTCACGTCGGCGGTATTTTCACGCCCGGTGGAGTGAGTCACGCTTTTTAATCCTCCTAATAAGGCCTCATTAGGCCGCGGTGCTCCTCCATTGTAGGACACGTCATGCGAATTCACTGGGAGACGTTGTCACCGCTCCTCACATTCCGGTCGTGTCACCAGCTGAGTTACGAGGACGCGCCATGTGTGCTGAGGAATTAACAGCCTTTTAATGGCCCCACAAACCTCTTCAGGAGTCCAAAACACCTTCAGAATTCACAGCTGCTGCCAGTGTCACGGTGACACTCCGACCTAAATATATTAATCTGACCTCTGACCTTCCCTTCAGTCTTGCACAGTTGTACCCGCTCCTCTCCTGGACTGGAATGGCTTCCTCTGATGTCACTGCACACTGGGAGCTTCTCACAATGTGCATTAGAAGCTGCAGATAGAGCCTGCCTAATTTCCTGGCATCATCTAGCCCTTTCCTCCCCATCCTGACTGTCCCTGGCCCCTCCCCTTTCATTCATTGGATTTCAGCTCTTTCAATCATGTGATCGCATGTCGGTGTTACCAAGGGCGGTCTATATGCAAATACAGCCTGCATAGGAACGCCCACTCCTCCAGACTGACACCAACCCATTGAAGCATTTTTACATTTGCATAACTCCTCCCATGATCCATCCCACTGCTTGCATCAGGGCTCTTGAGAGTAGTCTGGAGGCAGGGTGCTGTGATGTTTTAAGGAAGCTATGTACAGCACCCTGCCGGCTCCTCCCACAAGCATAGAGACCCTATGATGACATCACCGAGACTAATATAAGGTATGAAAATGGAAAGGTTTTTAAAAAAAATGTTGATGGGGAGGGAGGGGGGCAGGTGGGGGGGGGTTGGGGAGTGGCAAACTCTAACCAGAAATAACTTCAGCTTTAAGAATAATTTAAAGGGGCTGCCCCCGTGTTTTTTTGCAGCTTCTGATGATTTCTGTAAAGTCTAATAATTAATTTTTTGGCTTCAAACCAGCATCAGGATTAGGATTGGAGTCAGGTGTTTGATTCACCAATTATACCGAGCCGGTGATAACGATCATCGATGTCACATGTCGGAGGAAACAGGTTGTGGAGGACGGTCACATGTCACGGGTCATACACCAAGACCGAGCAGAGCGGCGTGACACGAGGTAGATATACTGCATCAGCGGGATCTCTCCCCGGCAGAGACTTCAGAGCAGACCGGGCGGGTTCCATGGTGTTCAACCTCTTATGAAGAAGAACAAAGAAATGGGCGACGTTGAGGACCGTGGACGCCGTGGTCGGCTGAGGAAACAATGCAACCGATGAAAGACACATCTTAGTTACTTCCCTTCCACATCAGAAAATGTCCAGCAGAGCCATCGGCACCAAACTGGTGGAAACCAGAGGGACCCAGGTCCACCCATCTACTGGGCACAACTAGAGGAATGGCGGCCATAACAAGGATAAGCAACTCAACTATACAGGAAAGCATAGGCACTGGGGGTGCAGATAAATGGCGGCAGGTGCTCTGGACTGAGTCCAAATCTGGAATATTTGGCTGTAGCAGGAGGCAGTTTGTTCCCCCGAAAGGCTGGAGAGCGGCACAATGAGTGTCTGCACCAACTGTGAAGCTTGGTGGAGGTTCCTTACAAGTCTGGGGCTCTGTTTCTGCCAATAGAGTTGGAGATTTAGTCAGGATCAATGCTGACATACAATTAGATACTGATCCATCATGACATATCATCAGGGAGGCGTGTGAATGGCCCCAAATTTATTCTGCAGCAGGACAACCACACCAAACATACAGCCAATGTCATTAAGAAGAAGAAGGAGTCCTGGAAGTGATGGTTGGGTCCCCACAGGGCCTGGATCTCACCATCATGGAGTCTGTAATGACATGAAGAGACAGAAGGATCCACAGAAGATCTGAGCCGAGTTCTCCGAGATGTACCTACAACAACCTACCTGCCGACTTCCTTCAACACCTGTGTGCAAGTGTACCTAGAGGAAGGCAAAGGGGGGTCACCCCAAATAGTGATTGGAAGAAGGCACAGGGGGTCACCCCAAATAGTGATTGGAAGAAGGCAAAGGGGGTCACCCCAAATATTGATTGAAGAAGGCAAAGGGGGTCACCCCAAATAGTGATTGGAAGAAGGCAAAGGGGGTCACCCCAAATATTGATTGAAGAAGGCAAAGGGGATCACCCCAAATATTGATTGGATTGGGATTTCTCTTCATTTATTGATAAAAATAATCTATAAACACTTTTATTTACTATACAGCATCACACCGGCCTACAACCTCTGCCCAGCTCTGTACATTCTATTGGTTAGATTTCTTCAGCCGAAAATATATCAGACCTGAGAAACGACAGACTCTATACCTTAAATCATTGCAGCTGGTCTGAGTACCCGATTATCACTTTGAATTAGCTTCTCGCAATCTATTTACAGCAGAGCCCAGACGGGGAGAAGGAGAAGCAGCACCAGGAGCCTGTCAGCTCTGCTGCGGTGCTAACAAGGAACATACTGATAGGAGGCGAGAGCAGAGTGACAGAGAGGTGAGCTCATCAGTCTGCTGCTGTTCATTTCACTGTAAGTGTGACTGAACTTAAATCATGACCTCGCCAGGCCGGGCTGTGCTGTGTGGCAGAGCAGTGTAAAACTCAAGGCTGGATGGGCAGAAATCCGAATGCTTCGGCAGGCAGAGCGGCTGCCATATCTGTATTTCATCCGCGTGTTTATCTGAAGTTCAGCTCCAGTAATGGCCCACTGGACATGTCTGGGACAGGAGCCGAGCAAAAGATTCCCCTCACTGGCTGTCTGGAATGAGGGGGATTCTGGGAAAGTTCTTCAAGGATAAAACTTTTATGACTTTCCCATCAATGTGCCCCTCAGACCGATATCAATCGGACGTTTGTCCAGCATCCCGGCACAGCCCGGCCCTCCGGTGATCTCAGGTCTCAGGAATGTGGCAGAAGCTTCACAAACATCAACATCAGAGCCTGGAGAAAGTTCCCCAGCCATGACCTCATTGTGCCGGCCCCCTGCGCTGTCCTGCCAGGCG